ATGAGTGGAGATAGACAGATTGATCCAACAGTCGTTCATCCATCCATTGCTCTTCTGCAAGAAAGGTTCAGACAGTTGGAGAGAGCCAAGGAGATGAGGCAGGAGAAAGAGCTCTTACGGATGTTGCCTGAATCAAGGCAGATCAATGCAGCTATAACTTATGTACCATCTAGATCGCTTTTCCAACCTGAACTCATGCTTTCACAGCTGCCTCTTCAGTGTACACTCAAAAGAGAAGCCAGTATGCAGAGCAGGAATACCTAGGTTCATGCCATTCAGACTCCACTACTGGAGAATTTATGGTCCAAAGATACTGTCATATGCACAACTTACCATTATGATATTTCAGATGTTGATACTTCATCTGTGAAAAAGTATTACAATGTTAGTCCACCTAGTAATCCTGTGGTTTCCTTCCGTTTCTTCTTCATGGGGCAGTAAGAATATGGGAAGGAAAAGAAGGAGCTAAAGAAGAAGAAAACAGAATATGCAATGTAGCTAATGGCCATTATCTTATGTATCTTCAGAACTACATAGTAATCAGAAAGATAATTCTCTTATCTCTTCTGAAATGCATCTCATCATAGGTAATGTTATCCAATTTGTCACCGTTCCCTTTCCTCTTCATGATTTTGCGAATCAATCGAGTTACATCTTTGGCCTCTGACAGTGCTTCCCCATTGTTTATCTGCTTAGAATGAACAGCACTAACCTTTCGGGCATTTGCAGCTAATATCTGCACCAGGGACAACATTTCACTCACATTGCTCAAGATTTAGTATTATTAGCCTATACGGTTATCACATGGATAATTTATTTTCCAGAAAGAATGTTTAAACTTGAATGTTACACAAAAACGAAGCATATGAATTATTAATATCAGTTGCTAAGTTTCATTTAGCAAACTGAGCCACCAAATGAAGCATCTCATAGGATGAACAATATAAAAGCAGATTCCTATATGAACAAATGCATGCCCCCATAATAGCATTGATTTCAGAAAGTTATATGTGGAAGAGAGTCAAGAGACTGCATGATTGCTAGCTACATTCATTTTCTTAGATTTTTTACTGAAATCTGTTCGGTTCTTTTACCCTACCTCAAGTCTATATATTTGATGCCTTTCCTTCAAATCTTGATGATCAGATCCATCTTCATCATGCTTATCATCTTCATCTTGATTATCCCTTTTGAGGACAACTTTGATGCTCTCACCAGCCCTAGGGATGTATCCAAATACTTCGCATACAAAACCAGATACTGTCTCATACTGATGTTCCTATAAAACAGCATGGTGAACAAAGAACAATCAAGTAGAAATATGAAATTTAAAAGTTAAAGCAACAATTTGATAGTTATTTATAGTGTGAGATTAACTGTGCCTTTACTTCAAAATGAATTGAAAACCACATTGCAATTTTAACTATTTACTTTATCATCTCCCCTTTTTCTTCTTCATTTGTTTTTTTATTTTTTACTTGCAACTGGGATCAGAAATATCAAGTTTATAAGTCTGGCTATTTTTAAGATTCCTACAATCAACTACTATGTGGCAAAGAATGAAATTTTAATGAGCCTGTGGAAATAGTAGGAGAAGTATACAATACTAGAAATAATCAAAGGTAGAAATGATCCTAATAACTGAGTCTTTAGCTTTAATGTTTAAATTCTCCATTCAGTGCTCTATACAACATAACAACGAAAATCAGTAATAGTATAGAATAATATACCTCTGCCATTTTGATATTCAAGTCCTCAGCCAATAAATAGATGCATGGGCATGGACATCATATACTCCCTCTGCTCTCATTACAATATAGCCAGTTTTCTTCTGGATCTCCTCCTGTTAATACAATTAGCAACAATGCATAAAATAAGAATCACTTGAGAATCATTATACATATGTATAAATGAATCACTTAAGAATCAAGTAGAGGTGAACCTCGTAACACTAATTGATATGAGACCTATTGAGTAAAGAAATACCTACAAGACGTGAGAAGTGACATGAAATTCCTTGGTCACATGGAAAATACAGAAAAAGTACATGCCAAACTAAATGAGACCAGAAACTGGCGACATAAAGC